ATCCAAGACATTTGGTGAGAAGAAACAATGTCAGATGAATGGAAAGACGGGGTTATTGTACCAATACACAAAAAAGAAAACAAAAAGCAATGTATTACCTACAGGGGAATAACACTCCTAAACACCACCTACAAAATTCTTGCAAACATCCTGCTAGAAAGAAGCAAAACAGACACAGAAGAAATCGTTGGAGATTATCAATGCGGATTTAGACCGGGCCGCTCTACCATTGACCAGATATTAACAATAAAACAGATAATGGAAAATGCTGGGAGTTTCATCGTGAGCTTTATCAGATGTTCATAGATTTTAAACAAGCATTTGATAGGGTATGCAGGGATAGACTGTGGACAGCGATGCAGGAAGTTGGCTTTTCAAAAAACCTAGTCAGGTTTATACGGATATGTATGGAACGGTTACGATGTAAGGTAAGATTTGGACAACACTACTCGGAGACATTTGAAATAAACAATGAACCAAAACAGGGAGATGCACTTTCACCACAACTCTTTAACTAAGCTCTGGAGCACATAATCAGAAATGCAAGAATCTAAAAACCGAATACAGTATTTCATCGAGAGAGGCAAAACTTACTACTGGCATTTGCAGACGATATCGATCTAATAGGAAACACACGATTACGGATGAAGAAGACCTTCGTAAGGTTCGAGAAGGAAGCCGAGAAGATGGAGCTTAAATCAACGAAAACAAGACGAAATATATGTATAAGAGCCGCAATGACCACAGCAGAGACAGAATCGGTAAGAAAATTACCATCGATGACTTTAATTTTGAGCGCGTTAGAGAATTCAAGGATCTTGTAACAACAATAACTAAAGACAATAACGGATCACAAGAAATAAACAACCGGATTCAGGCCGGAAACAGATGTTTTGACCCTCCAAAATTTTATAAAATTAAAACAACTAACAAGACGTACGAAGATACAGGTCTATAAAATAATCATACAACCCGTTGTGATGTATGGAAGTGAAACGTGGACGATAATAAAACTATGTGTTTGGAAAACAAAAATCCTAAGAAAAACCTTTGGTTCTGTGCTGGATGAAGCATCAGGAAAATATAGGATAAGATCTAACAAAGAGCTCGAAGGACTTTACCTAGACGCCAACATCTTAACAGAAATCAAGTCCAAAAGACTCCAATGGGCAGGACCAATGGGCAGAAGACATTCTGACGAACGAACAGTAAGACTGGTATGGGAGGAAGTCCCAACTAGAATGGACGCCCTCGTCTCCGATGGCGAGATAATATAGCAGGAGACCTAAGCACTATGGGCGTGGAGAATTGGATGGAGGTTGCTCAAGACAGAAAACAGTGGAGGCATGTTGTCGAGTCGCCTAAAATCCACGAAGGGTTGTAACGCCATGGAGTAAGTAGTAAGTGACATTTTGTGCTAAAACTATAATCCTACAGAGTTTGCCAGCCGTCTGGGTCGTCGTCGTATGGGCAACACTTTTCTTCCTCTACAATTAATCCGATGAACAAGATGGTGTTATACTTCAGCATTAAAAAACGCAGTAGATGCAAAATAAATCTCACTGTATAATAAGTCTGTTGTGGTGTAACTGTCTGGTGATTTGCTTATTAAGCATAGTATAGGTATATGTGTGTTCTTTGTTTAATTATGTGTGTCTGTAGGCGAGTATTTATTTGTAAGTGTGTGTCATATTTACTCATGACACATACTTAATAAATCTACAGTTATTACTTTCCTGCAGTACCTATGTAATATTCAAAGTTGATACCCAATGTATATTGGGTTATGGCTTATTTGGACCTGTTTTATGTACCTGTATAGCTGTAGAATGGCCTATTTACATAATATATATTATGACGGGTAGCTTTTTTAGCACGCAGACTTAGTAAAAGTCAGTTTTATTTAAATAAAAATATAATTACTATTTAACTGGGAATAAGCCACAATTAAAGATAAAAATACGTTTCTTGACGTTTCAATTTCCACTTCGGAAATCGTTCTCAAAATACAAACAGTGTATTTTAGCCACTAACAATATGCTAACATTTTAGCCATATATACCACAACTTTTTTATTTATTTTTTAAGCTGTCTATGATGTCCCGGGTCTGATTGAATTTGATGTTCTTAAAAAGACTTAGAATTCCAGATACTCCTTGTTGTCTATTAATGATGTTTCACATGTTTTCTGGAGAATTTTTTGCAGTCAAGATTGCTCTGTTATTAGAATTCATATTTGCCTTTTTTATTTCAGTTTTATACAGTTTTTTAAATCATTTAGTATTTGTTGTAGCTGTTGTCAGTTTTATGTTGTCTGTTATGCTCACTTAAAAAATTAAAATGTTCTTTGATTGTTCTTAGTTGGTTTGAGAACTATGTAATTTTACCAGCTTGGTCTGTCCGTACTTTATAGACTTAAAAAAAGGTGTCATTGACAGAAACAAACCCCAGTCTATCCCAGACAGTGAATTATAAAATAAATGTTTACCTTTTTCAGTTGTAGATCGACTAGGCCTTGGTTGTTCTTTGTAACCTATTGCCCTTTTCTGAATTGCAAACTTAACAATTTGCCCCTTGTAATCCAAAAACTCCAGATAGATCACCTCAGTCAAATGGGACGCCGCTCCAGAATCCAAAAAGACATTATCAATGCAATTATTGCCTTTAGTTAGAATATGTATAGTTTTAACCAGATTAAAACTCTCAAAAATATCTTGGAGCTTACAAGCAGATATATTTTCAGTGAGAAAGTCAACATTGAAATCTTCGGCAACAAGGATTAGCTTGAGTGGGTAAAGCGTGCTTAGTATTTCTCAATGGATTCTAAAAAGGTGTCAAAATGGTCAGAGGGGCTGTGGTATATAGCTATCATAAACTTTTTACACATATCCTCCTAGAATACCTCCTCTGCGGGAACTGGCTTTAACCTTTAATTGAGTCTTCTTGTATCTCCACCTCTGTTAGCCAGTATTTAGTAATACAAAGGGTGTCTTTATTTATATCTACAGTTCATGCTTCTAATACGTCTATTTTATATCTGAGTGATTGTATGTTAAAGTAGAAAACAGTTAGATCCACTTTTTGGCAGTTTTGAGATAACCATTCTAAGAAATTTAATTTGAAGGTAGAATCCGATTGTTCAGTTAACGTTGAAGAAAAGAATTAACTCTTACTTCCTTAGCTCAGCGTCCATGATTTGGTTAATATTCTCCGTGGCAACACTTAGTTTAAAGGATTTAATATGCCAACCTCAATCTCGTTTGTATCATTACCACAACAAACAATTCGGGTTTTTTCAATGAAATATATATTCTCACGCCAGTCTCTTTTAGAACAAGAGTTATGGAGTGGTACTGATAGCAGCCTACTAATTCTTTAATTATTAACTTATGTTTGGATTTAAATGTTAAACAGGGAAATCAGACATTATTATAGATAACAAGGAAATATACTAATACATAAGGATACGGAAAAACTTTCTTTTAACAACTTTAAAGTTTAGCAAACCCTAGAAAATGTTTGCACAATATTTAAATCTAAAATAATTTACCCACGTGAAACTAAAATACAGATATGTGATAAATTAACTTAACTGAGTATCAATGTCTTTTAAATATTTTTTTTTCAAAACCTATTTAAATAAAGATAATTTAAAAATAAATACGGAATTTTCTACTTATCAAACTGGAAAAGAGGCTTTACGTAGTACAGGTATTTGTATGCAAAGGCGTTCACCCAAACTGCATAATTTTATTAACAACTATCCAAATAATGCCTATATGTAAAGCTCCTACCTGAATTCGAACCATTAATCCAGAAGGACTTAAACATTGTTCGAACAGAATAACGTTAATTACGTACCTGTGAAATATTATAATCTCACAAATTTCCGTCAAGTTTATAGCATTGAACTATTGTGGTTAGAGTTATAACAAAATATTTCTAAAAAGGAGGTAAAAATATTAGCAACAATTAAATTTATATGTAGTTAGACCACAATTGTTTGTAATCAAAACTAAATTTTTTAATAACGTTTGACGTTTCAATAACCGACCCGTAAGTCGTTTGTAAAATAGATTATTTTTAAATTGATTGTTAACTTATGACTTACTTGTCCATGTGAATAAAAAATTAGAGTCAGAGCAATTTTAGCCCGGCACCCTCTCTCCCTATACCAAAAACGTCAAGTAAAGCCAAGTCAAATTTATTGATCACATGCGACATTATACAAAGTACATGTATGAGACAAGTCAAAATTACAGACATACATCTTAAAAGTATATAAATTAATAAACACGATAAAACATACTTAAAAAATATTTTTAGAATAATATGGCTCTAGCTCGCAAATGTATTGATGTACACTAGGATGGAGCGAAAAAATCGATATTTTTTTTTGACATGTAATACCTGCGAAAAGTTGACCCTACCTATTGTATACTTGCTGCTAAAATTTCAGTAGAAAATAAAAATATTTTCAGGGCTCTACTGCGCATCAAAAAAAAATCAAGAAAAATCGATTTTATTTATTTTTTACTTTTAATAAATAAAAGAAGCTACTTTTCTCTATGTTAATTATTTTCTATTATTTTAGTTAAAAATAATGTTATTAGAGCTCTATCTGTCACCCAAGTAAATATTTTGAGCAATATTTTTGGAAATAAAACAGATCAAAAATCTCATTAAATAATGTTCAATATTCGTTTTACAGTTAATTTTTATTCAATAAAGCTACGCCACTAGTAAAGGCTTACCGTCAAATAATCTTTTCCTGTAAAACATTTTTTGACCTGTTGCTAGATCGGTTCGACAAAGTATAAGACGAAGTTAGCTCAATCTTTAGTCCCTGTGATAGCCGTAGACATAAGATCGTTATTGTAATAATTAATCGGTACGTAATGAGTTTGCCAGTGAAAGACACTATGGGCACTACTAATTGTCCTATATTTGGTGCACCTGCGAATATACCTTATAATGTTTTGCCAACTATAAAAGATGTTATGAAGCGATATCTACTTATTAGAAATGAACTAAAACGTATGGATTCCGGCAAGGATCCTAGTGTTCTAGTTATTTCTCAATTAGTTACCAGTGAAATCGAAGCCATCTGGGAAAAAGCCTCAGTTCCCACTGTATCAAGTAATCGTATTATTCGATTAATTCGTGATATCCTGAGTAAGTACCAAACTATCATCAGATATCCAAAACAAAAACGTTATGAGACTTATAATTTAAGAGTAAAAAAGTTCAGGCAGAAAGGATAAAACTCTGTGCTAAGAAAAGGTTTGAGATAAACTTCATTGCAAGATAAAAACCGAAGATCACATTTCGTTACTTGAAGAACCAGGTTTTAAATATCTAAATCTCATTACTCCAACGTCAGGTACAGGAAGACATATTGCCACATATATACTAATTTTTTTGAAGAATCCGGTATTGGCACAGGTAATCTTTTAGTAGTAGGCTGCGACGGTACAGCAGTCAAAACTGGGAGGAAGAATGGGGTTTTACGGTTTTTAGAGACAGAACTGAAACGTCCTCTGCAGTGGTCAAATTGTCTATTACACATGAATGAATTGTTCCTCCGGCATATCTTTCAATCTCTCGATGGAGAAACTTTGGGACCTCGTAAATACTCTGGCAAAATGGGTAAACTATTTGAGTCTTGCGAAAATTTGGCAGTAATCCATTTTGTTCCTATTCATACCACTCTACCACAATTCGATGCTGCAGTTATAAGGGACCTTAGCAGTGATCAAAAGTACTTATACGAAATTTGTCCTTCGGTTTCTAGTGGAAAGTGCTGGATAGATTTAGCAACTCGTAATCCGGGTAAATTATTACATGCACGATGGGTTACAAAATCAAATCATATATTGCGTATTTACGTCGGAAGTGAAAATCTGTCTTTGGTTTTAAGATCTTTGGCTGAATTTGTGGTAAAAGTTTATGCGCCAGTGTGATTTAATATTAAAACTAAGCCATCGTGTAGTGAAGGAGCAAGACACGTCATTAAAATGATTCAATTGTCACGCTACCTGAGGAACGAGTTAAAAGCCGTCATTGATCCTGTTATCAAAAGAAATTCGTATTTTTGTCATCCGGAGAACCTTCTCCTAGCAATGCTTTTTGATAATCTTCCTTCCATAAGACAACTTGCCTTACGCAGAATGTTGAAGACGCGCACAAAAATACCTACTGTGGACACGAATGTAAGATAATTTTTAATTCCTGATTTAAATTTTAATGCTAGTGAATATTATGAATTTATTGATTGGCAAAATTGCTCTGTTACAATTCCTCCCCTTTTATCTACTACAACTGATGAGGATATTAGAAAATGTATTAATGGTGAAGAAATTTTTCCAACTAATTTTTTGTTATTTTCTTGTCATACTCAAGCACTAGAAAGATGTGTGAAGGTTGTAACAGAAGCTTCCAATTCTGTCCTCGACTATGACTCCAGAGATGGATTTGTTCGAGCAAGGATTCATTCAAGAGCCATATTACCTCGATTTAACACTAAGGCGCAATACAGTGCATACATTTTTTAGGAATTTAAAGACAAGTAGCAGTTTAATTTCCATTTAATAGTCTATACTCGGTTCACAATTTGTTGATAGCTCACTACAAGTTTAATCCTAATTAGAGAACTGAAATACAGAGAGGATAGGTAATACGATATAATAGTAAAAATCAACCTGAAACTGACGATTTAAGATTTTTTCGACTAACCCACCTTGTATCTGCCGGAATACAATACAGCGGTCAAGCTTATAATCCGATTAGGAACGTATTTTGGCCGACCAGTGTCGTAAAGTATATGATTGAAACATTTATTTGAACTAAATAAATATATTTTTTAAATTGTATGTTTGTTTTAATAAAACTTATAATAAAATAAAATATTTTATTCAAAAATAAAGTTTTTTGCCATTTGTAAAAGATACATTTATTTAATTAAGGGGAAAGGCACCAAATGTGTTTTAAATGTATCCAATATTTTCGAATTCGGAGAAAACTAATAATTATTTTTGAAAAATTTAAAAGCAGAATGAAAGATTACATTATTACTGAGGGTATTATATATGTGTATACTGATGTATATTACAGAAAGTCCCTGAAAACTTCTACAATGTTTATTTTATTATATTATGCAACAGGGGTGAAAATAAAAGAGAGAATATAGTTTAATTTTTAATTGAAAATATTGCATGCAAAAGAAACTTTTTATTTATTCTAATAAATATTTTATTCTGCCTTTAAATTTTTCCAAAAAGGCTTTTTAGTTTTCTCGGGATTTGAAAAAAAATCGATACATTTAAAACACATTGAACATTTTGACAGGCGACGTTTTGCGCCTTTCCCCTTTAATACCTTACGATTACAACTACTATCACTTACCTTATATAATTACGATTAGAAAACTATTCAAATTCAAAATAAATAGGATTAACTTCGGAATCCGAGTCGTCTTGAGGGTTAATAATTAGCGGTTGTGTCTCTACGGTCGCATCAATTATGTTATCAAGATCCTACATTTTTTGTTCTTCTTGTATTACATGTCTTACTGCATCTTTCCAGTTTTGTTCTGTAATGTGTTGTAAAGACTCGTATAACAATTCACGTACAGCTTGTATTTTATATGACGTATTTTTTCTAGCCACATAACTTTTCATTTGTGCCCAAATGAGTTCAATTGGATTTATTTCGCAGTGGTAGGGTGGAAGTCTAAGGACTGTGTTGTTCCTCCTTTCCGCAATTTTGTCAACTACGTATTTCTTGAACTTAGATTTGTGTTGTAATAGATAATAATATTTGGTTGAACTTTTTTTTTTTAAGGAGAACCTGTTTATTTAGTAAACGGTTTGTTTTCTATATTAGAGATTTTTATTGTTTTCTATATTAAAAGTGTTTATAAAATAAGGGATTTGTATTTTCTTGTCTTTTTAAATGTAGAAGGCTTTTTGAAACTATAAAAGTTGGTAAAAAGCCTAATAGTCATTAATATATTTAGCTTCCGCGCTATAACATTAGAAAAAAAAATTTATTATTTTTTTTGTTTCACCCTGTACAACCCTGAAGATAAAATAGTAGAAAAAAATAAAAAAAACCTGGTACTCCTCTATGCAGTAAGCAACTTATCCGCGCTATTACATTAAACAAAATTTTATTATTTTTTTTGTTTCACCCTGTAGAACCCTGAAGATGAAATGGTAGAAAAGAATAAAAAAACATGGTACTCCTCTATGCAGTAAGCAACTTTTCCGCGCTATTACATTTCAAATAAAAAATTTAAAAAAATTCTTCATGTTTCACTCCACCCTAATGTACACGCCTCCGAAAGTTTGGCTGATGTAAGTTCATTCGTATATATATTGGTAATTTGTTAAAGAAACTTATGGCTGTATAATGTGTGCTACCTTCACACTTGATGGACAACGAGCTAAGGGTGACAGCTCCCTGGGAGGATGCACAATGGGTCAATTGTGGCCTAGGTGCTGTAAATCTTAACTCGCCCTCCCTACTCTACAGATACAAAGAACCGAAGTTAATTTTATCTTCGAAAATGGCTGACTTTTTCTCATTCTTTTTGTGCATCAATGTTTTATAATTTTTTCCTTGAATACGCCTTTTCTGATTGAATTATTTACTCCATCTTTGGATATTAAATATCTTCTTTCCTCCCACTTTCGTATTGATTTTTGTATCTTCCGTCCCCAGCTTTTGATATCTTATTTTGTTCTTTTTGGCAACATCTTGATTTTAAAAGTGTTTGTCAATTACCAGTACTTATACCATACTATATTTGTTTATAATGTTGCTTTCCATAATTTCTTTTTCTTAGCTGGTTCCACTTTTTTTTTCAGGATTTGTATTATTTTCCTTTTAAACGTATCCGGCATTTTCACACTCTTATTTAAACATATACACAGAGCGACAAAATTCATAAATAAAACAGCAAAAGTTTGAAATTACTTTAAAATTGATATTATATTAGTCCTGTTAACCAAACTAAACAGAGTATAAACTGTTTAATATCTAGTTCAATTTAACACAGCGTAATACAAATTAATTTCCAACTGAATTACACACAATCTAACCTAATTCCGTATAATCCGAATCATCGTATCAACTCAATATAATATTATGTATATTTTGGATTAAAAGGAATAATATCAGTTAAATAATTAGAAAGTTGGAGCGAATATAAGACTCTCAAACTCTTAACGGACTTCATTGTTTTAATATAAATTCAATATAGCAACACTCCAAGAAATTTCTTTCTCTCCATCTATCTTTTCTTTACAAATATTTAGAATTATTGCTGGTGAAGAAAATATTATTTATGACACTAAGTTCTTTAAAAACTTAAAGAATAACGTTTTATGCACGAAAACGACTTATTAACGATTTAAAAATACCTTTTAAAATCGTATTTATTTTCAAAACGCCTTATTTCCTGACTGATTTTATTTCCAAAGCGTCTTAATTCTGCCTGGCTAGTACATGAGCGCATAGAGGTCACATTACTCATCATGACTGTTTACTCGTTTGCGTTTAGTTGATGCGTACAGTAAGGTTTAAACATCTTTATTACAAACGTACATTCTTCTTCTTCTTCATGTACCATGTCCTTTCAGAACGTTGGTTACCATCATAGCTATTTTAATTTTATTCACTGCCAATTTTATTCACGTACATTGTTTTTGTGTTTATTTGTGTAAACAACCTTATAATGTCTAGTTTGAAGAAGTGGTAGTGTTTCACACGGGTCGTACCGCGAGAAAAAGATCACAAACACATGCACAGTGAGCGAAAAATATAGATAAAAGTGATGTAAATACACCAGTGATGTCTCGTCGCCACGTATAGCTTGTAGACATAAGCGTGGACTTTGTCAAGGTAATTTGAATACTTCTAGGGACGGCGTTTTCATAGAATCTTCTACGGTTATGAAAGTAAAGTAAAACAAGACATAGGTAAAGAAATAATAAATAAGACTTACTAACAATCAATTTAATTTAACTATCAGACGACCAATTTCGCTTTCTACAATATGCAAAGCATCTTCAGGTCTCGATACAAAGTTAAATAAATGATGCCGGTACTCTATTAATTGATGAATGGTAGAACATGGTTAAAACTACTATGTATTGTTGAATGGAGAACTCAATTCTGCTATTGTAGTTGTTTGACAGTAAACGAGAAGTTCTTGAGGAGGTAGATTTGATCCAATGAAGTAGAGATATGTACGTGTGTCACACATACTAGATGTACACTTTAAGAAATATTTTATTTTTTGACGACTCTTCATTTTCATTACATAAAAACACAATCAATCATTTGCAAGGTATTATTCACGGAAAAATAAGCACCTCAGTGTTGCAATGCGAACGGAGCATCCGCAAAAGTTAAATGTTTGGACTGAGATGTTAGGCGACCATATTGTCGGTCCATTTTTTATCGATAGAAGCCTAAACGGGTCAAAATATTTACAACTTTTACAGAATGAGATCATTTCGGCAGTTCGACGCCTTCCCGTTAATTTTCATAAGGTTTATTTCCAACAGGATGGGTGTTCAGCTCATAACTCTAGAGCAACTATTGACTTCCTGAATCAAACGTTTCCTGATCGACTGACAAGTACACGTGGTACAATTAAATGACCCGCTAGATCCTGTGACTTAGCGTCTAAGGATGTCTTTTTTTTAAGTTTTCTCAAAAAAAAACATTTATAGGTATCAGTTTGAAAGGGCCACAAACCTAGTCGAATTAAGGGCAAAACTACTTTATTTCTCTGCAAGCATTACACCAGCCCTACTCCAAAATACGACGAAAAATCTGTATGTCAGATTTGGTTACTGTTTAGCACAAGGAGGTGGAATATTTGAGCCCTAAATTCAATAATCTGCTTTCCTAATTTTTATTTTTTGTT